ATGAGGGTAAACTCTGTGAAGAGATACCAGGATGCACTCCCTTTGCGGAAACTTCCTGCTATCTTGGAGAGACACATCGACCTCCACGTCCGAACATACATGTTCACGTGCCCTTGGATATCATAGACGTCGCATCAATGCTCCAGCAATGCTATAACGTCTATGTAACTAACAGAGGTGGTTCAGGGTCCATCCTGGCCAGATGGTAGTACCCTGTTAAGGCCCGATTGTCCCTCGACACGGGACAAAGAATAAAAAAAAATGAAATGGACAAAAATTTAGATATTATACTCCAAGCGGGTACCTCAAATGAGGGTAATCTCGTCACCGATTCTGATCGGGTTGAAGCCCCGGTAGTCGGTGCAGACGGCTCCAAGGATTTCGGAGGGAGCCAAAGCAAAAATTCTGAGGATGTGGGACTTAGCAGATTCGAAGAAAATGTTTTAGAACAGGTCGATCTGATCCCAAAAATACTTGAAAGCATGTGGCGTGTTTGCAGGAAACAAAGAAACATTAGCAAGGATGTTCAGAATGGAATGGTGGAATTGGGGAAGGTGCACGAGGTGCTTCGCAGTAACCTGCGTTTTATACCTAGGCCCTTCATTAGCCCAAGCAAACCAGAGTCAAATCCTGAAATTCCTAGATCGATGTCTCACGCCACATCTGGCGAGAGCAAGCCCATCGACCCAAAGAAGCGCCCTAGAGAGTATGAAGGTCCGGAGACTGATTCTACTGCGACCACTCCCAAGGGTAAGAGGGTTAAGAGCAAGGAGACCAAGCCAAACCCTACTGTTATGGAGACGGAGGTGAGTAAGGCTGCTTCGGCCAAGATTGCTTCTTATTCGGAGGCAACTGTGGAAAATAAGCCTGAAAACGAAAAAGACTTTGAAACCGTCTCCAATAGGAAACGGGATGCCCGTAAGAGAAAGGCCTTGAAGAAAGCGGAGGAGAGGGAGCGACTTCAGAAGCGCCTCTCCAAAATTAGAACAACGGAGGCAATAAAAATTTCGGCCCGGAATCCAGAGACCAACTATGATCTTATAAAGCTGGCAACAACTTCGGTAAATCCAGAGGAAACTGGCACAGAGATTGTGAAAATTAGGAGAACTCTTAAAAAGAAGGTTCTCGTTGTGGTAAAAAAGGGGGGTGAAACTTCAAAGTTCGTTCAGAATCTTACCTCCGTTCTTCAGGACAAGGCCGAGGTTACGGCTCTTGTCAGTAAAAAGACCCTCGAAATTCGGGAACTTGACGAAACAACTTCAGAAGAGGACGTTTTAACCGTCTTAAAGCAGAAGTTGCAAAAGCCCGAGTTAGATGTGACTTGCCGACTTCTGACACGTTTTTGTGGTACGAAAGTGTCACTAGTACGCTTGAGTGAAACGGACAGCAAGAGTCTGCTTAAGCTAGGCAAAGTGCGTATTTGTTGGATAAACGCATCCAACCGAACGCACTTAGAAGTGACAAGATGTCAAAAGTGCCTAGCCTATGGACACGTGACCCGAATTTGCAAGGGCCCCGACAGAACAAAAAACTGTCGGAGATGCGGCGAAGCGGGACATTTCGCCAAGAGTTGTACTGGCGACAAGCCAAAGTGCATTACGTGTACAGATTTGGGAAAAACGGAAGTCAACCATATCCCTGGAAGAATTTCCTGCCCGGTTTACAAGGAGGAACTGGAGAAACTTAAAAGGGCAAATCCCTAAAGCTCCTTTAAGTCAACCTGCATACAAGTAAGGATGCACAGGTGCTCCTGATGCAAACAGCTAGGGAAAATGAGGTCGATATCCTGTTCTGCAGTGAGCAGTATCAAGGAAGCGACCTCGCACCTTGGTATCAGGATAAGGCGAAGAGAGCCGCCATCAAGCTGTGCAACCCATAATTGCGGGTTGACAAGTTCTTGGAGACAAGCAGCGGGTTTGTGTGGATAGAGGTGGCTAATATACGTATGTATAGCTGCTACTTCTCACCCAACGACCCGCTGACCACCTTCGAAGCCAATATAGAAGACGTAGAATCGAGCCTCATAGAATCCAAGCTGGATGTCATCATCACTGACGATTTTAATGTAAAGTCGCCAGAGTGGGGTGAGACGAGGCTCGACAAGAGAGGAATTCTGATTGGAGAAATGATCTCCAAGAACGATTTATTAGTTGTAAACCGGGGAAAAACATGGACGTTTAGACGAGGTGCGATCGGATCGATTATAGATCTAACGATCGCATCGTCTAATATATTTAGCCGCATAACCGACTGGCGGGTCTCTGAGGAATATACCGCAAGTTACCACCAGTACATTCAGTTCTCAGTCTCGATGGGAGACACACGAGGAGGAAAAAGACAGGATGCTCCTAGTCGCAAAACCTCCTCGTGGAACATTAAGAAACTCAACAAGGAGAAGTTCAGCCGGTCCCTAGAAGAATCTATCTTAATTGAGGATTCTGGTTGGGTGAGGAGGCCGAAAAGTCTAAATGGAGAGGTGCGAGCGGTGCGAAATATAATCTTCACCGCTTGCAATGCGTCGATGCCACGTCGCAAAGGAGCCTTTCCAAGGAAAAAATCCTTGCACTGGAGTCAGAAAAGCTGGCCTCCTTGAGAAAGGAATGCTTCAAAGCAAGAAGGACATATACCCGATCCCTTGCTGAAAGAGGCTTTCAAGGAGGCGAAAAAGGACCTCAAGAAAGAGATCCGCAAGTCGCGACGCCGTAGCTGGAAGGACCTAATCGAGGAAGTCGATAAGGACCCATGGGGTCTGGCTTTTAAAATCGTAACTAAGAAATTAGTATAATAATAATAATAATAATAATAATAATAATAATGATTGCAATAAAATTAAAGATAAGATAGCAGTTTTTCCATATTATGGAAAAATATCAGAAAATATTAAACTGTTTTTAGTGTAAATTTTAAATTTGATAATTTTATAAAACTTAGGAAGGATAAACTTGTAAAATATAATCAATGTAATTGTGTTTATAAAGAATGTAACTGTGGAAAAACGTATGTGGGATAGACTAAGAGACCACTACATATTCTGAGACAAGAACATAAAACCAATCTAGAAAGAAATGAAAAATATCATAACGTAATTAGTAGAGGAGAGTGGTCCTAAGTTGACCGTCTAAGCAAATTGGTCGAAAATAGTGACAAAATTAAATTTAATCACTTCGGCAAGTATATATTAGTGTTTAGAGATCGTTTTGCTATAATTTTGTGGTATTTAGAACATTATAGAATGGCTTTTGTAGTCTTAATACAATAAATAGTGAAAAGTTGCATTTTATACATTTCAGAAATAGCGGTCCTAAGTTGGCCACCACTTTTTTTCGGTTGTGTATAAGGAAGAAATGCATATTCTTTTCAATTACGCAGAAATTTTACAAATTTGATACATTTATGAGAATACAAACGCATTATTTAACTATTTTTGTTTAGAAAATGAAGCATTGTTTTATTTCATTTATTTGCAGTGGTGGATGGCTGTGGAGACAGGCGTTTTTGTACTATGTCTTTTCTAATGTTTTTTAAACCGTTTACAAAAAAAACAAAGACAAACTTTGTTTAATTCCTACGTTACACTTTTACGGTCTTTCTCGTGATAAAAAACACAAAAAAGAAGTAAAACATAAATAAAAACAAACAAAAACATTAGGTGGCCAACTTAGGACCACTGTAGATTTTTACAAGTTTTAAATTTATGGGACTAGTGCTTTTTTTCCTTAGTAACTGGTCAGTTTCTGTGCCCTCAGTTTCTTTTTTTCATAGTGTCAAGATTTTCTGGCTAGAGATTTGAAAAAATCTAGAATAATTCTTTTAATAGGATTCGGCAAGTTTTTCTGATTAGTGGTGGACTAGCTTTCTAGGTGGAATCTTAAATAATTCTTCAAATCAGTGACTTGACAGTGTCTGAAATGAAATTCTTATCACGATTATGATCAGATTTTCTGGTCAGTGACTTGACAAAAGCACTGTTCACAAAGCGGAATTGTTTTTATCCAGTGAAACTGGCTAGTCACTTATTCAGGACTGGCCAGATTGTCTTGGCAAGTAAAACTCGCTCTCGACTCTACAGCTACTGGAAGGAAACAAGTAATAGTTGACAAATTTCTACCTGGGGTAGTACCGATTGAAAATTTTATTTTATTTATTGTTCATATTTATTATTTATTATATGTGTCTTAATTTTTATTATTTTACTAAATGGATTTTTGATTAGTTTTTAGTAAGTTTGAACTTTTATTTATAATTATTTATTTGCTTATTAATTTTTATTTTCATCTTTATGTTTATTTGTTTTTATTTAATTATTTTTATTCATTTTATTTTTATTAACTTTTAATTGAATTTTGTTTTATATTTTTATTTTTAACTAACCTGTTTCAAATTTTGACTCCAGATTTTGTATGGCTCCAATGTATGGGTGTAATATTTTTATTTTCTAACGAATTTTAATTTATTTATGACAAATTTAAGTTCTGACTGTTGCTAATTTGGTAAGATTGTAATTTTTGTACTTATATTATTATTTTTGTTCTACGTACTATTTTTAATTTGCGTTAATTGTGTCTTTATTTTTATTTTCGTTTTTACTTACTATTGTTAATATTTCGATCTCTTTATTAAGATAAAGAGATCGAAATATTAACAATAGTTATTTCATGTTTTATTTTATTTTACGTTTTTTGTACAATATTTCGATTGCTTTTTTTTATTTTAAGTATTTCAGTACAATATTTTGATTATTTTATTTCATATTGTGAACTAACATCTTTTTATTTTACTTGGTTTTTGTTGTATATATTAAACTCCCTAAAGAGGAAATCTGTGGATTTCGAAAAGTTGGAGTAACATTAAAGACGTTTCTTTTTCTCCGCAGACATTCGGGGACAATTATGGTAAAGTCTCGGAGTCATTAAAAAGACAACAAAAAGACATCGTATGTCCGGTCTAAAATTAGGTTTAATTTAAAAAACAGAATATTAATTGTTTAGAGTTATATTCACCTGTGGTTACATTGTTGACACGCGAAGCACTCGAGGTGATATACGTTAGTTCTGGCCCTCATAACCATTTCAAAGGCAGGAATTACTTTACTGCAAGCAGCACAGTGTCCAGTGTTTCCGAAAAGTCTGCAAAATTAAGAGCTTGAATGTATTGATTATGTAAATGTCTATATAGACATATTTTCTCATATAATAACTGTGTACAAAATTTATAGATATGAAGTTTTCTATATATATACTCTCGGAATCAATGGTTCTTGAGGAGAAATTGAAGAAGACACTTGTGCCTTGTGGCAGGGACCAATAAACATTCGGGCAACAGTAATGTTGTCGTCAAATATTGGGCCATTAATAAAGACCATAGTTTCGATGGCTCCCGAGTTCACAATAGCACCTGCGTGTTCCCTCGGGACCTCGTAATCTCAACACGGTTTATTTGCCAGGCTGATTGTTTGAACAACGCAGGAAATATATTCAATAAAAGAAATTTGTCTGTAAAAAATTATTTTTATTCTATTTGTTGATTTATCGATTGCACTAGTCAAGAAAATTTTGCCTCAAGCGTAAGAACTGGTGACTCTAGAAAAAAAAATTTCGTATAAATTACGAATGGGGCCATTCAAGTATTACGTAAGCATATTTTTCAGGTTTTTAGACCCCCCCCCCACCCCATGTAAGATTTTTTATATGCATTAGCGCCATTTATTCTAATGGAAATAAGTTAATTGCTTATTTCCCTCCCCCTTAAATGCTTACGTAATACTTGAATGGTCCCAATGTGCAAGTGAAATTCTTCCATAAGTAGGTAGGTTCTCTTGAGTTTTAATTTAATAAAATTTTTTCATGTCACGAGGTACAAAATTCCCATATAAACAGTGCTACCTTTGTCCCCTTGTTGCTTAATACATTATTTTTAAAATAATTATACTAATATTAACCGTAGAGTGTCCAACGTACTTCCGGCAGGACAAAAAAGAGGCCCTCTAGTTAAATCCCCACATTGTGCTTTTCTATTCAGGCAGTGACAAGGCAATCTAGTTAGAACCTCTCTATCTTTCCACATCATCACCTGATATTTCAAGCGTGACGAAATTAGACGGGTCCTGACTAATTTTCCTAGTTTGCGCCTCACTAAACGAAAGGGGGTCTATTCAGGGCCTTACGAAGTCCTATTTTCAATTTCTACTCACCTGATATTTCAAGCGTGACGAAATTAGACGGGTCCTGACTAATTTTCCTAGTTTGCGCCTCACTAAACGAAAGGGCGTCTATTCAGGGCCTTACGAAGTCCTATTTTCAATTTCTACACGGGATAACACTAACGCATACGCACATTGAAAACCCGGAACGCTAACCACTACACTACACACGCACGTGTTGTACTAAATTATTTAACAGATATTAGAATTTCCAGTCAAAATTTTTAAAATACACAATTTTACTTGCTTCCTGGCGGGCGGGTTTCACTGAATATCTACTGAATTCGGTAGACGTTCGGTATACGTTCGGTAATTGGTCGAAAAATTCAATAAAAAAGCATAGAATGTTGAAATAAACTATTGAAAATAATAAATGGAGTATTAAAGTGTAAATTTATCCAACATTTAGGGTAAATTATGTTGTAAATAATTAAATATTAATGTGTAAAGTGTAAAAGTGCTAATGTGACAGTTGAAATAGTGTGTAAAATTTATTAATTTGTAATGAAAATAAGAATAGAATGCTAAAAAAAGCAATCAATATATATTCTTTGATATGTAATGTATTTAATTCATTATATAGTTTTGTTAATTGTTGCATATTAACAATAAAAACATTAATTAAAGTAATAATTTTTTCTACCAATGTAAAGTGTCGATAACATGGAGTGTAGAGAAAGGTAGCCGCGCTCAACACACGCTAGGTGGCAATACTCACGATTTCCTTGTCTGAATCGTCTGAATATTTAATTTACAATTTAATTAAATACTATTAAAATAGACCAAATTATCAAGAAAACTAAAGAGTCAACTATAGAAAATATTGATTTAATATTCATGATTAACATTTATGCACGATTTATTATAAAACTTTTTGAAAACAATTATAATTCTTTGCATATGGGCAATTCCACGTAAAATTTCAGTCGACCTTTAGAATCGGCAAAACATACTTTTTTCTTTTCTATATTTAAAAAAACCGGAGAGGTATTTTTTTTCTAGGACAAAACTTTTTATTTTCTTTTCACGGGGTTGAGACTAAATTTTAAATTTTTAAAAAATTAAATATATTCACCATTTTTTTAAATAAGGCAACGAATCAAAGAATTGCTCTTTGTAAATAGGAGGAGTTTAAATATTATTTTTAGTGGCCAAAAGTTTTTATTTTCTTTTTAGAAGGTTGAGACTAAATGTTATATTTAAAAAAAAATGAAATATATTCACCATTTTTTTAAATAAGGCAACGAATCAAAAAATTGCTTTTTGTAAATAGGAGGAGTTTAAATATTATTTTTATTGGCCAAAACTTTTTATTTTATTTTCAGGGGGTTGAGACTAAATGTTAAATTTTTAAAAAATAAAATATATTCCCCATTTTATTTTTTATTAAGGCAACAAATCAAAGAATTGCTTTTTGTAAATAGGAGGAGTTTAAATATTATTTTTATTGGCCAAAACTTTTTATTTTCTTTTCAGGGGGTTGAGACTAAATTTAAAATTTTTTAAAAATGAAATCTATTCACCTTTTTTTTAAATAAGGCAACGAATCAAAAAATTGCTTTTTGTAAATAGGAGGAGTTTAAATATTATTTTTATTGGCCAAAACTTTTTATTTTCTTTTCAGGGGGTTGAGACTAAATGTTAAATTTTTAAAAAATAAAATATATTCACTATTTTTTATTAAGGCAACGAATCAAAGAATTGCTCTTTGTAAATAGGAGGAGTTTAAATATTATTTAAGAAAATAAAATAATATTTATATAAAAATAATATTTAAACTCCTCCTATTTACAAAAAGCAATTCTTTGATTCGTTGCTTTATTTAAAAAAATTGTGAATAGATTTCATTTTTTAAAAATTTAACATTTAGTCTCAACCCCCTGAAAAGAAAATAAAAAGTTTTGGCCAATAAAAATATTTCAACTCCTCCTATTTACAAAAAGCAATTCTTTGATTCGTTGCCTTAATAAAAAAAATGGTGAATATATTTCATTTTTTAAAAATTTAACATTTAGTCTCAACCCCCTGAAATGAAAATAAAAAGTTTTTGCCAACAAAAATAATATTTAAACTCCTCCTATTTACAAAAAGCAATTTTTTGATTCGTTGCCTTATTTAAAAAAAAAGGTGAATATATTTCATTTTTTAAAAATTTAACATTTAGTCTCAACCCCCTGAAAAGAAAATAAAAAGTTTTTGCCAATAAAAATAATATTTAAACTCCTCCTATTTACAAAAAGCAATTTTTTGATTCGTTGCCTTATTTAAAAAAAAGGTGAATAGATTTCATTTTTAAAAAATTTTAAATTTAGTCTCAACCCCCTGAAAAGAAAATAAAAAGTTTTGGCCAATAAAAATAATATTTAAACTCCTCCTATTTACAAAAAGCAATTCTTTGATTTGTTGCCTTAATAAAAAATAAAATGGGGAATATATTTTATTTTTTAAAAATTTAACATTTAGTCTCAACCCCCTGAAAATAAAATAAAAAGTTTTGGCCAATAAAAATAATATTTAAACTCCTCCTATTTACAAAAAGCAATTTTTTGATTCGTTGCCTTATTTAAAAAAATGGTGAATATATTTCATTTTTTTTTAAATATAACATTTAGTCTCAACCTTCTAAAAAGAAAATAAAAACTTTTGGCCACTAAAAATAATATTTAAACTCCTCCTATTTACAAAGAGCAATTCTTTGATTCGTTGCCTTATTTAAAAAAATGGTGAATATATTTAATTTTTTAAAAATTTAAAATTTAGTCTCAACCCCGTGAAAAGAAAATAAAAAGTTTTGTCCTAGAAAAAAAATACCTCTCCGGTTTTTTTAAATATAGAAAAGAAAAAAGTATGTTTTGCCGATTCTAAAGGTCGACTGAAATTTTACGTGGAATTGCCCATATGCAAAGAATTATAATTGTTTTCAAAAAGTTTTATAATAAATCGTGCATAAATGTTAATCATTAATATTAAATCAATATTTTCTATAGTTGACTCTTTAGTTTTCTTGATAATTTGGTCTATTTTAATAGTATTTAATTAAATTGTAAATTAAATATTCAGACGATTCAGACAAGGAAATCGTGAGTATTGCCACCTAGCGTGTGTTGAGCGCGGCTACCTTTCTCTACACTCCATGTTATCGACACTTTACATTGGTAGAAAAAATTATTACTTTAATTAATGTTTTTATTGTTAATATGCAACAATTAACAAAACTATATAATGAATTAAATACATTACATATCAAAGAATATATATTGATTGCTTTTTTTAGCATTCTATTCTTATTTTCATTACAAATTAATAAATTTTACACACTATTTCAACTGTCACATTAGCACTTTTACACTTTACACATTAATATTTAATTATTTACAACATAATTTACCCTAAATGTTGGATAAATTTACACTTTAATACTCCATTTATTATTTTCAATAGTTTATTTCAACATTCTATGCTTTTTTATTGAATTTTTCGACCAATTACCGAACGTATACCGAACGTCTACCGAATTCAGTAGATATTCAGTGAAACCCGCCCGCCAGGGCTCGTCAAGAACTATTTATTTTTAGGGTTCCGTACACCTACACTGAGAGAAATTTCTGCATAAAATAGTATGAACTATAGCCATGCTTTTTTCACATCTATATGACATACGCCATTGGTGAAAACAACATACTCATTTCGTAGGGATAACGCTCTTTTGGTATGACTGCGGAGCGAATTCAGTATGTTTTCATAACAAAAACTCACGACAGAGGGCATGCGAAGCGCGTTGAGTGTTTCAATACTATTTTATGCAGAATTTTCTCTCAGTGTACGGTGTAACGGCGGAACCCTATTGGTGAGACTCTTATGTCCGTAACCAAATCGTGCCCCCTCCCCTAGCGGCTAAACTATTTGACCTAAAGAGCTCAAATTTGG